ATGCCTGGAGTAAAGAGTTTCATTGGTTTGAACAATCATTTCTGTGATACGTTATAAAAATCACAAATAACAAAACAAAATAGACAATAAGAATATCAAACTGAAAATCATTTGCAGAGCAAAGAAAACTGTGAGTAGATAACCCACGAAATTGTGAAAATGTTCTATAAATCACTGATCTTGTAAGGGATTAATATCTGTGACAGTAAAGAAACTCCCAGAAGTCCTGTGGATCAAAGAATACAGCGTCACTGTTGGACAAGGGGACTAAGCTCTGGTGTTCCGACACAGTGAGGTGATGATAAGTAATAATAACTGTTGCATGTATTTCAAAACACGACAGAAGATTCTGAATGGTCTTAACACAAAGAAATGAGACTCTGAGGTAATGATTATGTTTGCTAATTACCCTGATCTCTAAAGGATGTATGCATATATGTGTAAAATTATTGCTTCTCAAAAGTAAAACAATGTACAGTTTTAAAGGTAAACCCTATAAGTCAGTTGTAAAACCAAAGCCAAGACCAAAGCAAAACATCCCAAAGTTTAAAAAGAAAGAGACAGAATGCTTTATTTCATTTGGTTTAGCAGTTATGATGAAAGACTACAGACTTTGTGCCTTGTAGACGTCAGGAATTAGTTTCTGGCAGTTGCAGAATGCATCGAGCTCATGTGGCAGGAGAGGCAAGGAGCTCTCAGGGTCTCAGTTTAGAGTGATGATAATCTCGGTCACTGGTTCTCTGCCCTCATGAGCTCATTGCTTGTCCTCTCCCCCAGTCTCCTCCAGATCCATTTACACTGAGAACAGGGCTTAGAGATGTGGGTCGGGGTGGAGGCATAAATGTTGTCGATAGCCAAACTAGAATACATGCACAAATGTGCAACAAGATTCCAAAAAGTGCTCAGAATCACTGAGCATTAGGTAAATCCAAATAAAACCTCAGTCACTTCCTATCTTTTGGGAAGGTCATTAAGGAAGTCATCAAGGAAAGGCTGAAAATGAAACTGAAAGACCTGGATAAATCCAGATCCCCCTAACAGGAAAACATAGAGCCAAAAATCTAAGCAGGGAGGGAAGAATCAGAAATCTAGGATTAGTCAGTTCAGTGTTTCAGGAACTAGCTGAAGATAAAGTAAGATTGTAATCTTGAGAATAATCTTGAGAAACAGGGAGTTCCCCCCTTGTGATTATCATTGGTATTTTTTTGGAACACTGTGTTTCAGGAACTAGCTGATTATGACCTTGAGAGTGATCTTGAAAGGCAGGGAGTTGCCCCTTGTGACCATCACTGGTATTTTTGGAATTTTCTGTGATACCCTCCCTGCCCCTTTCGGATTACTGGGCTGTGGTTTCTTCCCTTAAAAACCCCTTCTCCCAGCTACTCGGGAGTCGAACTCTTCCCCTGCGTGGGTTCTGAGTCTTGGCCCCAGTGCACTGGTTCCCTTCTTGTCATCTTGTCATTAGACCTTGTGTGATTGCAGCAAGGACGGTCTCTCGTGAGTTACTGGGGGCGTCGTGTCATCCCAAGGCTTGAGTGAGAGTCTCCCCATATTGGGGGTCTTTCAAAACAAGTAGCCTTTGCTAGCAAGGTGTGGATGCTGAATTATCAGCATGCCTGCTGCACTAAAATCATACAGCCATGTGTGGGGCCAGTCATAATAAGCTAAATATGGATAGGTCACCCAAAGGAAGTTCTTTGCCAGAGTAGAACTCAGCCATTGATAAATTTAATAAGAGGCCGGAGTCTCAGTAGTTTACCCTGAGACAATGCCTGGCCACAGGAGGAACCACAAGCTGAGATTAACTATCCCCCACCCAAGAACAGACCATTCAAAGGAAATGCCTTGCATTCCAACCATTGTAGATAGGATCACCTGCCAGTGGGCATTCACCAGAACACCACAGACAGATGTAAGCCAACCAGGGGTCCTGAACCTCAGAAACCCCTCACCCCCACCTTTACTGCTATAAAAACCCAATTCTAATTGAGCTCACAGCTCTCCGGTTAGTCCAATACTTTGGACATGTGGAGAGACCGAGTTTGTAAACTTGATTAAAATAAAGGCTCTTTGCTTTTACATATGGGACTCGGTTTCCTTGTTGGCCTTGAGGGGACTTCGCGGATTTGGGCATAACACCATGAGGCAAACAGCATGACAATCCCTCAAACACTAGAATGGAACCAACACTGGAAATTCCCCTAGGTACCCAGTGGAACCAGAACATGTGGCGAGTGCAGACATTCCCACACCATGCTGATTTGAACAGTACCAGCACATGATGGGTGTGCACGTGAGTCACTGAGATCTTGATTTCATTTCTTCTTGGTGAATATTCACAACTGCGATTGCTGGGTCACAGTGGTAGTTCAGGGCAGGGTAGAAGGACAGTGGGTGATTCCCCCTAACACAGGAAAGAAATCTCACTGTAAGCAACACAAAAGAACCTGCGGGACATTGTCCCGTGGGAACAGTCCGGTCACAGAGGGCTTGTACTGCACTTGCTCAGGAAAGCTTCCCCAGAAGTCACTCCCCAAAGCAGGAAGTAGTATCCTGTGGAGAAGGTGGCTCATGGCAGTGGGGGAAAGGTTTCAGTTTTGCACATGGAAGTTTCTAGCGCTCTGCTCTATAACCCTGATTCCGTACTTGACATCAGCACACAGCTCACTTTCAGATTTGCTCCTCGGAGCCAGGTGTAGCAGCAGACATGCTTGTCATTCTGGCACCCAGGAAGCAGAGGAAGCAAGAAGATCAGAAATTCAAGGCCATCTTCAGCTACATATCAAATTCAAGTACAGTTTGGACTATCTGAGGTCCTGTCTTAAAACCCTCTCCACCCTGGGAAACTTAAACAGTTCAGATTTTGCTTATTTTTTTATTTATACATTTATTTATGCATACTAATTCTTTCTTTTTAAACCAATGATTTGTAGTGTATCCAACTGGTGATTATATTTGTTAAGGAAAAATTGCCAGTCTCTTGTGACTTTCTGTGTCCTAAATGTGTCTCTGACAAGGTGTAGGTGCATGTCTGTATGTCCTGATCCATGGTGGCCAAAGTGCTGGCTGACCTCAGATGTCAACCCAGTCAGAAGTCAGTATCTGAACTTGAGGTCCCTTTGAAGGCTAGGACCTCCTAAAAAGCTCAAGACAGGTGTCCCAAGGAAGATCACAGATGGAAGATGGCTGGGAAGCACCTTTGCAGAGATTGTAGAGTTCATCAAGCAGAAGGTGCATCATCTCTAAACCCTTCAAAGGGAGCTGACTGTCCTCGGTTAAACTCAGGGCCAGTGGTGGGAGACCACTCCATGGAGTATGCACATGGCCAGATGCCCTGGTTTTCCCCACTTCCCATTGATCTCTAGGATACTGCTTCATCCTGAAAACCTAAGGACACAAGAAAAGGTCCTGGTTATTAGACGTCCATGTGAGGATCTGGAGGACAAGCGACTGAGAAAATGAAGGGAGATTGTAATCCTTCTGCCTGTATTTACTGAGTATGCACACACACATTTAGCGCTAGGAGACAGGGATGATTGGAAGGGTAGGGTCACCCTGTTGACATGCAAGTGATGACTCCTTCTTTTTCAAAACCGGAGTCATGGGAAACTTCTTTGGTGTCTACAGAGAGGACAGAGTCACATCTGCCTAAGGAGGTCAACTCTGACTTCCACCCAGCTGTAGTGCATTGAGCGTGAGGACTCTGGCATTGGAGGGCTCTCTCAGACCGAGGTGTGAACTGTGGAGTTCCCTAAGTGGGAATATCCACCCTCAGTTTAAAGGTGCCACTCATATCCCGAATCACTCCTGTAGTGGATCGCTGAGAGCAGATCAGATTTCCATAACTGAAGCATTGGCAGGTTCCAGGGAATTCATATTTTTAAGGAATGCCCGGGTAACTAGGTGACTAAGCGCTCAGTCAGCCTGGATTTTTCCCAGTCCAGGGAAGGTAAAGATGTGGTATAGTGCTGAGCCTGCAGCACACCAGCATCCCCTTGTTCTGCCTCCAGGAAAGCCTCATGGCCAGTATTTTTTCTCCCTGAGGATTACATGCATATAAGGTACTTAACCTAGCTCAACACATCTCTGCTGCTTGTTCCCAGGCCTGCAAGTGTAGAGTGGGGTGCTAACAGTCCTGGCTCCACACCTACCTTTGAACTTAGGACCTCTTTGTACTCACCCAATCAGTTAAATTCTTTGAGTTTCAGTTTCTTACTCTGTAAACACACGATAGTATCTATTTCCAGGGATTTTGAAAGAGTTAGATATGATAGTATGAAACTTGAGGGCCCGCTCATTGGGGTTCCTGTCCTGCCCGGTTCCCGCGGCCAGAAAGTCCCAAAGAAATTCACACAGAGGTCTCCATAAGATTATAAACTGATTGGTCCATTAGCTCAGGCTTCTTATTAGCTCTTGTAGCTTATATTAGCCCATTATTCTTACATATGTTAGCCACTTGGCTCAGTACCTTTTTCAGCGGGGCAGGTCACATTCTGCTTCTTCAGTGATCTGGGCAGGACTCGGGAGGAATGAGCTTTCTCCTTCCCAGAATTCTCCCGTTCTCATTGTCCCACCTCTACTTCCTGTCTGGTTGTCCTGCCTGGCTACTGACCAATCAGCATTTATTTAAAACATAATTGACAGAATATAGGCAATTCTCTCACACCAATAGTATATCAAGCATTTGCCACAGTGACTATAGACAGGAAACAACCTCCAACTTGTACTGATAACAGTCTGTCCACAGACTGCCCTCTCAGAGGGCAGGTACCTTGTTCTGCTGTACCACACTCACCAACCACACCCAGTTAACATCTGAAAAAGACACTATGGTGCGTGTGCTGTGTATGCATGTGTTGATGTTTTGTATGTATGTGAGTATGGTGTATGTCTGGTGTATATGTATGCAGTGTGTACATGTATGGTGCTGTTTGTTTATATATGTGTGGTATATGGTTGTTCTTGGTATACATGTGTCTGGCACACATGCACATGGTGTGTGAACATGCATGGTGTGTGTCTGATGTCTCTGTATGTGATATGATTTGGTGTATATATGTGTGGTGGATATGGATACAGTATGTGCTGTGTTCTCATTGTGATGTGCAGGAAAAGTTGATGGGGGGGGGCTCTGCACCTGCCTTTTTCCTGGGTCCCTGGAAATCATCAACCTTCAATGCTGCAGAGTTTTCTCTTTCGGCCCAGGTAATCAAGAGATCCTCTAGCCTTCAATGAAGGGAAGACATTAGCAAGCAGGTCAAGGTGGCAGGGAAAATGACATTTTGTGGATAAAGTTTGACTTCTACCCCAGCCCTTTGGAATCCAGTGGAATCTGTGGGTGGAGTGTCTGCTCCCTGACAGACATCCTCACCGTGTGCTGTGGTGTGAGCATGCTGTTGCCCAGCACTGTGACGGTATATTTTCACTCCCCGCATTTTAAAACTTTACTGCTAGGTTCATGCAATTGATGCAGGCTAGAGAGACCCTCCTGGACAGTCATGGGAGCCCTGGCACTAGATGGTACTGGGCTCTGTGGCTCCTTAGCAAGGCAGCATTTGGAAGCGATATGGAAACAGCATCCAAGGTTCCAGAGCGCTGAGAGGAGCCGCTTGTATTCTGTGCGGAAGTTCTGGTTCAGGAGCCCATAGACAATGGCATTAAGGCAGCTGTTGAAGTAAGCTAGGAAGTAACTGGCGACGAAGAGCCCCTCTGGGACCCGAGGGGCCATCACCTCTGGGTTGATAGCCACTGCAAGGCCGATGAAGTTGAGGGGGGCCCAGCAAATGGCAAAAACCACAAACACTGCGAACATGGTTAGGAAATTGCGCAAGTCACCGGACTTCTGACGTGGCTGACTTTCAGCCTTGGCCTTCCTTCGGGTCCGGAGCACCAGTACCCAGATTCGCAGGTAGCAGAAGGATACCACAGATATTGGAAGGAGGAAATGGACGACCACCACAGCTGCTGTGTACCGGGTGCTGACCGTCTGGTTAAAGGTGCAGGAATAGATGCGTGGGTCATAGTCTAGGTTCCCCACAAAGAAACTGGGCACCAAGGCCAGCACAGTGAGGAGCCAGACGAGACTGACGTAGAGGAGGGCATGCCAGTGGCTGCAGACCCGGTGGTAGGTTGCACTGTGACACATGCGCCAGTAGCGGTTAATGGCAATGGCTGTGATACTGAAGACGGAGCCAATGACGCTCAGGCCTATCACGAAGGCACTGGCTTTGCAGTGGGCTTCTCCCAGGACCCAACCATCATGAACAATAGCCACGAGGATCAGTGGGTAAGGGTAAAAGGCTATCATAAGGTCAGCCAAGGCCAGACTCACCACAAACAAGTTACCTGAAGGAGGAAGCACAGATTAGCAGTTAGTGGAGACCTCACAATTCCTGTTCACTATTTTTTGGGGTGGGAGGAGATAGCTTGGTGGGCAATATGCCTGAAACTGAAGCATAAGACCTGAGTTTGAATCCCAGAACCCACATCTTAAAAAGAAAAAAGCCAGGCAGAGTGACAATTCTTATAATTCCAGGGAAAGAAAGGCAGATAGATCTTTGGGGCTCAATGACTAGCCAGTCCAGCCTAACCATGAGCTCCACATTGCTAAGAGATCCCGTTTGAAATATAAGGTGCATGGCACCTGAGAATACAAGAATAATAACCCTGATTTCTTTAGCCATAAATGCTTGTGCATCCACACAACCCCCCCCCCCAACACACAGTACAGCTATGCACCTAACATTTTATGGCTTCTCTGAACTGCTTTCATCAGCACTGGGAGTGGAAACCAAACAGCATTTAGAGACAGTCGAGGACTCAAATTGCATCTGTACTTGTCTACCCAAGTTCTTATGGGCTCCCTTTGGTTATTGGCAATGCATTGATAATTATCCGACTTTGTGATAGGTGTGAGAATGAGACCAATGTCCTGTGTAATGTGTGCTCTCAAGTAACTGCTTCCAGGACAGGTACAGAGGCATGGTGTCCTGGATGGGTTTAGTCAACTTGACAGATACTTAGACATATCTGGGTAGAGGAAATCTTAACTGAGAATATGTCTCACTAAGACTGACCTCTAGGCAAGTTTGTGGGGGCATTTCCTTGATTCCTGAGTGATGTGTGAGGGCCCCCTCTATTATGGGCAGTGCCAAGGCTGGGGTTACATGAGGAAGCTGGCTGAGCAAGCCATGGGGCAAGCCAGCAAGCAGTGTGCCTGCACAGTTCCTGCCTCCAGTGTCCCGCCTTGAGCTCCTGTTTTGAGTTCCTCTCATGAAAGACTGTAATCAGGAAATGGGAACGGAAATAAAGCCTCTCCTCCCCAAGCTGCTTTTGGTCATGAAGTTTTATTACAGCAAAAGAAACCTAACTAGACACACGGACCTGACTACTGTCTTCTTGCCCCATAGTCCTGGAGGAAGCGGCAGTGGCGATTCCTACTTAGCCCGCACCTTCCCTGACTTTCTGAGCTTTCTCCTCTGCTTATCTATTTGTTTACTTTTTATTTAACATCTTCATTGACTCTTCGGGAGTTTCACACTGTAAACCATAATTCCGTTCATCTCCTGGTTCCCCCATCTCCTCCACCCATCCCTGTTGAACCCCCCACCAAAAAAGAAATAAACCAAAGTAAGCAAGCAAGCAGACAAAAGCAAAACACCATCAAAAACCCCGGAACCAAAGCAAAACAAACCCCACAACAACAGAAAAATCTCTTTGCTTCCCCTTCTTTCCTGCTTCTCCAACCCTCTTCATTCATCCCGGGGCACTGGAGGTGTCAGTGTGCTGTGTGGTGTACCTCGTTGTCCCTTCAGTTTTACTGTCAAGTGTTCATTGCCATGCGTCACTGGTCTGGTTCAAGGCCTCTAGTTTCTGGTACACCAGCATCACTGGATCCCTCACTGGGGCTCGGCTGGGATGTCCTGTGGCTGCCGAGTCTTGGTGATCTTGTGGATCTTGTTTCACAGGGCCAGTCCTTTACCAGCTCCAACAGGTCCTATATGGGGTATGTGCTAGGGTTGACTGACCCAAGGCCTAGCTGTGGACCTGGGTGGTAGCCAAGCTGGTCAGTCTGGGCCCCTTCTCCCCCATACACACCTTGGGCGAGGGGGTGGAGTCAACCCTCTACGTGCATGTGCTCAGGGTCAGTTCTACACATGGCCTGGGGTGAGGGTGAGAACCATCTCTCTAGTGTACAGGGACCAGCTCTCTGGCTGTAGTGTCCAGTGAGGGGCAGGGCCAGCTTTCCCAAGGCCAGTGAAGGGCAGGACCAACTCAGCATGGCTCTTTGATTTCGTCTTGCGTAGTTTCTTAGGCTCCTGAGGTGGCACAGGTTACAGACATCTACACAGACCCCAGCTGTAGCTGGACCATGGACTCAAACATGGCCCTCAACAGCAGTTTGGGCCCAGATGACATCCTGGCTCTGGATAGAAGGACTGGACATCAAGGCCTCAGATTATGGCCCTAACCCTGGGCTTCAGTGAGACCTTTGGTGGCAATGCAGTACCCTGACTTCAGCACAGACTCCAGCTATGGCCCTACAACCGTGGACTCCAACAAGGTCCTTGGAAGCAGCTGGGTCTGGATGTCACCACTATCCCAGCAGCAATATGGCCCCAAGACACTAACATGGCCTTCAATCTTAGGTGTTTGCATGGCCTTCCATGGTACAGGTACACCGGACATCAGGACAGACCTTGGCTGCAGTAGGGCCACCAAATCTGACATGGACCTCAGCCGCCTGCCACCCCTGGCCTTGAGGACCCTGGCCGAGGCCCCAGCTGCGTGGTTAGGCATCAGGCGGGGCTGACTCAACTTTCTCCTCTGTCAGGAAGCCACACAGCCACTCAGGAACGTAGCTTGGGTTCCAGGGAGGAGGCTGCTCACTCCTGAGGAGCAGCCTTTGCTCATCCAGTTTCACTGATAACATCAGGGCACCGAGCGAAGCACCAGGATTCTGGAGGGTTCCAACGTGAAGCTCAGGGCATGAGCAGTTCCTTTCCCGCACTGTTTTCCCCACCAGCCTTGTGTTTTCTGAGCGTGTGCTGTGTGCAGGCTGTCCATGGGAAGCATTTCTCAGTGGCACCGCACACACGGGACACAGCCTTTACAGTTTTCTGGCCATGTGACAAAATGTGTGCTGCCTTTTGTCAGACAGACAGCGCAGTGGGAGTTCATAGGAGGCACGTCAGGACACAGGTGCCTCAAATCTGTCCTCATTCTACAGCTGAGCCTACGCCCGCCTTCCTCAGTCCACCTGAGGGTCCGGTGTATGGGGGGGAAGGGAGAGGACAAGCTGAGGTCTAGGAAATGGGAGGTTTCGAAACAGTGAGAGGTTCATGTGTCAGACCTACACATGAAGCACACTCCAGACCTACATGTGTTAAAACACAGGTCGGGAAAGGGCTAGCTCCAGCCTGTCCTGGTCCCAACACACATGCTCACCTTATTGGAAGGCTGTGTGGTATAGAGTTCCTTGGATAGGGACCTGCAGATGTGCTTCTTTTCATCTCAAAAGCTCCAGGTCAGCCCAGCTCAGAAGGGAGAGAAAGTAAGTCCCATCGTACTATGGGAATTCTCAGGACCTCAGGGCTATACCGCTATCTAGAGCCAGTGTGGGATCCAAGATGGCCAGTTTGTATGACAGGTTACCAAAGTGTGAACCCTGGCAAGAGTGTGGGAGGAGAGTGAGCATGGTCCAGTGTCTGAGCACCACACAGGGAGGAAGGAGTCTAGGTGTAGTGGATCCTGCATGGGCTGCTCTCTTGGCTTCACCCTGCTGTAATTTGAGGGCAAATAAACTTCATAGGTTAAGACTCATTTCTTTCCAGTTGTTACTTCAAGGTGAAAAAATGCACATTTGAGGGCGTATGGTCTGAGGGAGATCGGGTAGATCTGAGGACATGTGTGTGTGTGTCCTGGGGTAGATCTGGCAGATCTGAGGATGTGTGTGTGTTCTGGGGTAGGCCTGGTAGATCTGAAGGGTGTGTGTGTCCTGAGGGAGATCTAATTTGTGTCTTTGAGTTGTCAGCCTTGGTGGTTTTCTCCACCACCAGCAGCCTTTGGCTTTCTGGCTGTGGCAGCTTTTCTTCATTGTCTAGAGCCACCCAAGGGACAGACACATCTCTACGTGTGTCTTGAGAGTCTTTCTAGGCTAGGGTAGCTGAACAGCGATGACACACCCTAAATATGGGTGGCACCATCCATGGACCGGTATCCTAGATTGAGAAAAAGAAGGCAGCATTTGCTCCCCTCTGCCTCCTGGCTGCCATTGCAGTGTGATTATCTGTCACGACCCTGCCACAGGCCTTCCCCACTGTGATGAGCTACACTTCCAAACAGTTACTGAGTCAGGTTGCCCTTGTCAGGTGTCTTGTCACAGCAACTAGAAAAACAGCTAAAGCAAGACACAGACTGCTTCCCAAGTTTCCTGCCTTCAACCCAGTAAGGGTAGGAACTGTCTTAGTTTGGGATCTCAAGCTCCTTTTGGTGCTTGGACAAGGTGTTGGGGGTTGGAGCAATCTGAGGTATACTTAGTTCTGCCCATTTCTGGTCACAGGCATTTGGGCAATTATCGAACTTTTGCTGTGACTTCTTCACTTATGGCTCCTCCTACTGGAGACCCCCTCCCCATCTTCATAATGGTGTTTTTGAAAAGAACATTTCCTTTCACCAACATAGGGAGGTTAGTTGCTGCAGGTCCTGACGGTTTCTGGAAGGACAGAACACAGGCTCTTGGGATGTACAAACACGACATAGAAAGTCCAAAGCTGGAAGCGGTGCCAGCTCTGCCAGCTGCTTCTCTGGGAAAGCTAAGGCAGGCACTGCTGTGTTAATGCGGCTTCTCCCCTAATAATGCCCCAGAGGCTGCGCACAGCCTGGAAAAAGCGAGCGGAACACATTAGCTCCACGTGGAAAGCGATTCAATTACTCTCCCCTATTAAGCCCTCTGTTCGTAAAGGCCGAGATCCGCCAGCCCTGCTGGAGAGTCATCCGCCCAGCAGTTCGACTGTCTTCTAGTGTCTTGGCAAGAATCCCAATTAGGTGACTACCGATCTCGTGTTGCCTGCCATCTGTGAGAGGCTGAGATACTGGGGTCTCTCTGGATGAGATTCAGGAGGAGATCCCTGCTGCACCAATTTCTCCCCCAGCCAGGTGAGAAATCAATCAGCCAGTGTGTAGCTCCGTTCTGCATTGTGTGTAATGGCTTGTAATGAACACTCATACAAGAGTCTTGCGGTGACTCATCCGGCCTGTCTCTGTCAGACAAACTGTATCAGTGGTAGGGGCCGCCACTACAGGGCTGTGCTCTCTGAAGTAGAACACTTCTATTATTCGCAGGT